GGTTGTATGTTGTGTGACCATGGTGATTGTTGGTTGTGTGATGTGTGACAGCGTTGGTTGTGTGATGTGTGACAGGGTTGGTTGTGTGATGTGTGACAGGGTTGGTGGTATGATGTGTGACAGTGTTGGTTGTATGATGTGTGACAGTGTTGGTTGTATGATGTGTGACAGACCATGTGATGTGTGACAGTGTTGGTTGTATGATGTGTGACAGTGTTGGTTGTGTGATGTGTGACAGTGTTGGTTGTGTGATGTGTGACAGTGTTGGTTGTGAGATGTGTGACAGTGTTGGTTGTGTGATGTGTGACAGTGTTGGTTGTGTGATGTGTGACAGTGTTGGTTGTGTGATGTGTGACAGTGTTGGTTGTGTGGTGTGTGTGACAGGGTTGGTTGTGTGATGTGTGACAGGGTTGGTTGTGTGATGATGTGACAGTGTTGGTTGTGTGATCTGTGACAGTGTTGGTTGTGTGATGTGTGACAGTGTTGGTTGTGTGATGTGTGACAGTGTTGGTTGTATGATCTGTGACAGTGTTGGTTGTGTGATCTGTGACAGTGTTGGTTGTATGATCTGTGACAGTGTTGGTTGTATGATCTGTGACAGTGTTGGTTGTGTGATGATGTGTGACAGTGTTGGTTGTATGATCTGTGACAGTGTTGGTTGTGTGATGTGTGACAATGTTGGTTTGGTTGTGTGATGTGTGATGATCAGTGACAGTGTTGGTTGTGTGATGTGTGACAGTGTTGGTTGTGTGATGTGACAGTGTTGGTTGTGTGATCTGTGACAGTGTTGGTTGTATGATGTGTGACAGTGTTGGTTGTGTGATGTGTGACAGTGTTGGTTGTGTGATGTGTGACAGTGTTGGTTGTGTGATATGTGACAATATTGGTTGTGACAGTTGGTTGTATGATGTGTGACAGTGTTGGTTGTGTGATGTGTGACAGTGTTGGTTGTATGATGTGTGAGTGTTGGTTGTGAGATATGTGACAGTACAGTGTTGGTTGTGTGATCTGTGACAGTGTTGGTTGTATGATCTGTGACAGTGTTGGTTGTGTGATATGTGACAGTGTTTGTTGGTTGTGTGGATATGTGACAGTGTTGGTTGTATGATGTGTGACAGTGTTGGTTGTGTGATGTGTGACAGTGTTGGTTGTATGATCTGTGACAGTGTTGGCTGTATTGTGTTGGTTGTGCGGATGTGTGACAGTGTTGGTTGTGTGATGTGTGACAGTGTTGATCTGTACCAGTGTTGGTTGTGTGATGTGTGACAGCATTGATTGTATGATCTGTGACTGTTGGTTGTGTGATATGTGACAGTGTTTGTTGTGTGATGTGTCACAGTGTTGGTTGTATGATGTGTGACAGTGTTGGTTGTGTGATGTGTGACAGTGTTGGCTGTATGATCTGTGACAGTGTTGGTTGTGAAATATGTGACAATGTTGGTTGAGTGATGTGTGACTGTTGGTTGTATGATCTGTGACAGTGTTGGTTGTATGATGTGTGACAGTGTTGGTTGTGTGATGTGTGGCAGTGTTGGTTGTATGATCTGTGACAGTGTTGGTTGTGTGATGTGTGACAATGTTGGTTGTGTGATGTGTGACAGTGTTGGTTGTATGATCTGTGACAGTGTTGGTTGTATGATCTGTGACTGTGTTGGTTGTGAGATATGTGACAATGTTGGTTGGTTCACATGCAATGCCTTCATCAGCTACTCCATCACTTTTCTACTGGTGCTTCATTACATCAGTGGGCGAAGGTGCTTTATTCCGCTGCTTCATTGCTTCTGAGTGCAGAAGTGTCTCCTTTAGGTGGTTATGATTGCTCCAGAGTGAGTTGTCACCTTAAACATCTACGTCAGTAAACTGTTGAGTCTTCAATGTCTTCAGCACCTCCCATATGTTTTGGCCCTAGTTATCTTCCAGTATAGTGCTGCCTTCTTGCAAGTTGTGTGCATCCGTCTTGTGAGTACCCTCCAGTTATGTTGCTGGGGCTGAAAATACGCTCCCTCAACTCCATCATCCTTGATAGGTTTGTCATCACCCACGCCTTCAGAGTCTGTGATGTTTTTGTGACTTACACAGATCCACTTGTGAGGACCCGTGAAATATTTTTGTACACAACTGAAATTATATAAATAATGCTCACCATGTGTCATTTAATGGAAACTGTCATAAATTTGACCAACTGAAATGATTGTTTTAAGCCGTGAAACTCGGTGCCACTCTCAGTCTCACGTACACATAGCAGGATATCCTGTTTTGGATGATAGCATAGTTTGTGGGTTAGTTTATTGATTGTGTTTAGGGAATGCAGGTTTACATGACGTTTACTGATTTATAAAACAATAAATTGAAATGACATAATTTATGTGGTGATTTAAAGGCCGTGGTGCAAACCTAAAAAAACCCATGATCCTCAGCAGTGTAGATGTTATCTGCCCATGAGTGACAGGGCTGTAACGGCTATGGGGGCCTGGCAAGGGTCTGGCGATGTCAAAGTTTAACCTTGGAATATACTACTGGAATAAACATGTGCCTTATAGTAAGTGTCCAAGAATCCTTTTACTACATATTTTAACAACTAAAGAGTTTAATTTGATTAACATATATGAAAAATTTGGTTTAATGAAAAGGTATGGGCACACTCATTTTCAAAAAGGTGTGCCCAATGGCACCCATCGAAACATTGCATGACTCCCTATCAATGTACTTCAACATGTACAGGTAACACTAACAGCTACTCAGCACATATGGATGGGTTGGTAGTTTTGGTTTTGTTTTCCAAATAAATTTTTCCATATTGTTGAATGTGTTCAACGGATGTTTTGTGTTATTGTGTAAGGACCTGACGTCAGTTGCAGTGTTCAGGGCATTTGTTAGATTCATCTATGATGGTCTGCGAAAGCTTGCAATCAGATTTTCAAAGTGTTGAAAATATTTTTCTGTTTCCAGCTGTGATGAAAACATTTGCCTTGAAGTAAGCTAGGTTACCTGAACCACAAGTAGATATTTCTCCTGCCTAAAAGGTAGGGGTGGGTATTACAGAGAATTTTCATATTGTGATATATTGCATTCCGAAAGCATATACTGTGATATGTATTGCAATATATTGTAACAACTTTTTTAACAAAAAACTACTTATAATCGAGTTAATGCTTGATTTATGAAGCAAAAACACAACAAAATCACTATGCTTGATTAAGCTTTCATAAAAACTTTTAATTTACTATACCATTGCATGTTTTACATACCGCGTTACTCTTATCAATAGTTCCATTTACCGTGAACTTTGTCAACCCCAAATGCTGCCATACTAAAGCCTTTGCCCTAGTATTTGGCACCACAATAAGTTGTTCATTGTTGGGGTTGCCATATTACAACAACTACACATGATTTCCGGTGTGAAAAATGGAAATTTCCGAATGTTATGAAGTTTTCCGAATCCATGTCAAAATACCGGTTTTCGATCAGTGTATCGCAATACGTATCGTTTTCAGTCTGAACCGGTAAATACCGGTTAACCGGTTATATTGCCCAGCCCTACTAAAAGGTATAGAAGAGATAAACCCCCTGTCATAAGTTCAGCATTTGAGTGTAAGATTTTGTTTGTTAATGGATGATTGTCACATGAAGTTTGAGACATGAAGCTGACATGTTGTAATGTATTGATTCTGGCATCAAGGTGATGAGCCAAACTAGGGCAGGAAGGAGAGCTCACTGTGTCTGTAGCTAAGCTGCCTATGTGGGAGGGAGGCTAGCAGCCTAGATACAGGATGGCATTGAGGCAAACAGATTGAATAGTCTCAGTCTCCAGACCAGTGCAGTCTCAGTAGACCGTTCACGTTAATGAAGCTATTGCCAGGGGTTAAGTTTAATAGGCCAACTTGCACACAAGGACTTCTGGCCGATGCTTCTGGGCAGGTAAGATGAGAGGGTTTAAATGCTTCCTACTAGAAAAGGTTTCTTTAAGTTAAGTGAAGTCATAAATATGTTGAATGTCGTGGTCAGGGTGTATTGTTTGTCATCTGTTTTTCATTTTGCTTTGTTTTTCTACATGATTATTTTGCAAGTTTTTTAGATTTTTCCTTTGTCATGCTTATCGCTGATTTTCTGGTTTTAATAGATGAAAAGAAAGCCATGATGAAGCTATTGATAACAAGAAGACATGGTCACCAGTATCCCCTGCCATGGTGGTCTCTGTAAAGAATCGTAACATGGTTTCCGTTTTCGAGCTCCATCAAGGCATTTGTGTCCTGAAATTTCATACCGATACCACATTTGGTTTCCCTATTTGTAACAGTTTTTGAGAAAGTCTGTCCTCATTGGGGATAGCGTGCACTAAGTAAAGTAACACATTACAATGGCCAGAACTCTGTAACAAATTGTAACACGGTTTCGGATTTCAAACTCCATCAAGGCATTCATGTCCTGAAAACACGCAATACATTTGGTTTCCCTATCTATAACGGTTTTTAAGGAAATCTGTCCCCATCATCTCCCACGGACGGAGCCCAAACCTATATCCCGCTCCCACTTCGTGGCGGGGGATAATAAATAAGACGCCATGTACAAGGGCGTTTTTTTATGTTTAAGAAACAAATATTTTAGACTTGTTTATAATCATGACAATCGTGTGATAATTATTCAAATCTCCAATAGGTAATCTGTCAATAAGATATCTTTACTATGGCTTTGTAGGCCTTGGCGGGCATATTCCTAGTTAATCAGAGTGTCTTTGTGAGTGGTGATTAACTGGTAACTAGTGTGACTTTTGTTTAGCAGTTATACCATCTGTCGCCAACACTCTATCATGCTCTGTGTTGCCATTGGTGTCATTGTAATCAATAGTTATTGAGAGTTATGTCATTCGAACATCAGTGGGTCATATTACATCATAACTGTTGCCATCTGCTTATCCATTGTTTTGTCAATTTCTTGTGTATGTTTCTGCTGTATGATGTTTGGTATTTGGTATTTTTCCTTCAGAGCAGTAGGACCAAGCTATGTCATCTCCACACAACATCCCTCAAGCTCAGGCTATGAACAATGATGTCATTTCGAAATCTTCGTACATGGCCACCGCTTCTTGATTCCAAGTCCGATACCTACCCGTCGGTCCAGGACCTTCTCAGCGTGAGTACATGCAGTTAATGGTGGGGCGGGTAGGGGTGAAATGGTATATCGTGGTATTAGTAGAACCGCGGTATTTTGCCGTCAGTTGGCATACCGTAATGCAATAAATTTTTTTCGGTATTTTCATTTTTTGTAGGGGGCGGTGGGGTAGACTAGTGGTTAAAGCGTTGGCTCGTCACGCCGAAGACCCGGGTTCGAATCCCCACATGGGTACAATTTGTGAAGCCCATTTCTGGTGTTCCCCGCCGTGATGTTGCTGGAATATTGCTAAAAGCGGCGTAAAACCAAACTCAGTCAGTCAGTCAGTCATTTTTTGTAGCGTTCATCTATCTAGTCATAAAATGACAATTTTGTTCTTTCAAAATAACAATGATTATGCTTATTTTTATTCATGTTATTAAACAATGTAAGGTTTGGCTCTTGCTGTCAATTTTCTGCATTATGATTATATCTCATATACCGAACCAAAACGGACCGAACCGAAGGCCTTGTACCGCAATATGTACCGTACCGTGGGAAGAGCGTACTGTTTCACCCCTAGGGGAGGGGTAGCCTAATGGTTCAAGCATTCGCTCGTCACGCTTAGGTTATTGCCCAGGTTAGATTCCCCACATGGGAATGTGTGAAGGGCATTTCTGGTGTCCCCTGCCGTGATGTTGCTGGAATATTGCTAAAAGCGGCTTAAACCCTAGTCACTGACTCATGGTGGGGAATTTGGATGTACCCTCCGTTCATGCTGTTCTGAAGGACGCTGTCATATATGTATGTGTTAGGTTTTTGAAACATTGTCCCGTCACGTTTCCACTTGATGTCCATGTTTCCGCTCAGCAATTTTAACATCTGCTATTAGAAAAATTACGTGGCTTGTGCAATGGTCAGTGGACTTCAATAGCAGGCCAATGAGGTGAGCAAAAACATGTGACGTCATTCCACAGTGACATGGCCACTGAGTTCATAAACATCTGAATAAAATATTATTAACCATATCAACTTTCATTACCATATTATAACTATCCTAATATTTGTTTGTATTTTATGAGCCCATGTATGTTATCTGAGTGAAAATTGATGATGCCAGGATGCTTGAAAAATAACCCTCAAGCCACAAGCAATTAATTTTTGAGAAGCAGGGGAATGACTTCTAAGTTGGTTTTGTGTGTAACTTCAATATTAATTCTAGCACGACATGGTGTGTTACTCAATTCTGATTGGCTGAGAGCTCATCAAAACCGGTATGTTTAAGACCGCTAATTAAAGTGAATACCGCGTATGAATACAACAAACTCGTTGACCCAATTGTTTGTAAACAAACATGTCAGATATTTGCAATTTCTATCTCGGCAGCATCTTTGGTGTTTTGAAGTAAAAAATCGAATGGTTTGAAGAAGAATTTCTTGACCCTTATCCAAGTGAAGAAACTAAGAAACTGGAAAATCCGTCAGCAGTGCAAAAGTGACAGTATATTCAAACCGGGTCCAGATCTACGTGTGTTGACGTCGACAACACGCGTCTGCCCACACGTCCTAACCTTACCGCTTCCATCCCGGCCATAATACCCAGTCCTTCCACTTCCACTGTCCATGTATCCCACATGAAACGTGGCATGTCAGGTCTTTTCCAAATTGGGAATAGTAGGGTGGTTATCAACAATTATTTCCGTGAATACAGTTAGTGGCGACTAAACTTAGCGAGTTCACAGCTTGAATTTGGACGAGTCGATTGTCATACAGTAGGGGGGGGGATAAAATCAAATAATTGCACTAGCTCACAGTATAAACTGTATTTTTTTTATTTATGTATGCTACTTGTTACAAATACAAGCATACTGGTTCCTGAAATAAAGCATTTATGTTGTTGAAAATGTCTTACTTTGTTCATTACAAAACCTGTCCCTCAACGGGACGATTCCAAGCGATTTCCAGGAAAAAGGCCCCTTCGCACCTTGTGTTCTTGCACGCCAAACAGTTCGGTTTTAAAACGCTTATCAGTCGTGTTAGAATGAAGAGGTTAATTTAGCGGTCTTAAATCAACGATAAAGGACAGCAAAATTGAAAACAGAGTAGCTTTATCTTCTAATTCAAGAGACAGAAATAATTTGTGATTCTGAGTTGTGTGTAGGATATTAAATTATGACTTAATGTCTTTTTTCAGTGTGAAAGATGAGTTTCAGCTCAGTTTATTCATATTCAACTTTAATATACACCAAGATGTTCATAGGTCATATGCCTCTTCACAAACAAAGAACAATAGATACAAGCTTGACAGGAATCAGAAATGATAATGCTCTAAATAAAAAATTATGGACAATAATTCTCTTATGTCCATGTCCCAGTGGGTAATATGTTTGTATAATTATAATTATTCCTGTCTTTATGTTAAAACATTTATTTTGATCAATATGTAACTACAAAGTAGCGACCATATTCCTGTTGGTGTCTTTTACGTGTGTTTTCTGACTGATATCTGTAGAATTCCATTCAAGTGCTACTGGGTTAAGCCCAGTATACATGTACAAGTCTCTAATAAGTAATATTTTTATTTTTTCCTTATCCTGACTCATGCTCTTTTGCTTGTCTTCTTCTTCTTACGAACATAGTGGAACACTTGTATCTCCTTAATTGAAGCTCCTTCAATGTAAAATCACTAATTGGTACTCACCACGAGTTGCCTCCCTTGCCCTTTTAAATCTAATTGCGGGAACAGGTGTAATGCCCACCCTCTGGCCTCATGCTTCACTCTCTCCTTCTTAGCCCAGTGAGCAGGATGTGAGGTGTAGCCTGTGTCTCCTTACACACAGTGAGCTATATCCTTTGCTTTTCTTAGTTTATTACCTCTTATAGGTTACTATAGAGGTATAGCTAGTATCCTTCATTAATTTGCATTGATATTTAATCATTATTTCTACTGTTTATTCCGTGAGTTAAGTGATTGTTCAGCTAGTATTCGTTGATGAAAATCTGTACTATTTGCAATTTCACGTTTTCAATTGCTGACCATGTATTATGCCCTAGTTGTGCTTTCGCCTTGTGCGTTTGATACGTTGCAGTTACTGCATTAATCTATCAATTCTGCTTTTCATAAATATCTTTGCGTGCGTGAGGCGTACCGCGAATAGAGTCCAGCAAACAAAGAGGGTTAGACATGGCGATACATCCAGTTCCCCTTCCAGTCAGCTGCTGTCGATAGACCCCTCCCGTCTGGTGTTTATAGAGACTCCGTCGGGAAGATGAAGCGTGGGATGCAGTCCGCCACCTCTAAGAAGCGTCCTGCCTCCCCAGGCGTCCGTCATCGCCAGATAAAGTCCAAGAGGGCCGCGGCGTCTTCCCAACGCAGACTTGGACCCCAGGGCAGCGTCGACATCAAGGGGAAGTCTGAAGTCGTCAAGAACTTTCTCAGCGAGATTGTTCCAGCCGCCCGAACTGGGCCTCTACGATGATCAGCCGATCATCATCCCTGGCGTCGCCACAAGAAGCGACCGGTGACAGCTACAGTGACATCAGCAGAGATCGCCATGCAGCCTGATGCCTCTACACTGATGTCAGGCGACTTCCCTGAGGGTCAGCAGCTGTCATCGCAGAGAGGGCACCCGACTACTTAAATCGCAGACCATCCCAGGCGAGCTGTTGCGGCAGATCATGACCATGATGGAGGCCACTACAGTCGGGGAAGCAGCCAGCCCAGGGCCGAGCAGCATGAGGCGATACCCCAGAGGCAACCCCAGTCAGCGTAGCAGCCACGGCGAAGCAGCCGAGAAGGAAGTCACAGACCACCTCAGCGAAGGGCGCAGATGTACAGTCGTCGCGAAGGCCTTCGGCGAAGGCGGGAGAGATCGTCATCATCCTCGGCCTCGTCCTCAGATGCAGACTCAGACCACCAGGCGTCCGCGGAAACCGTCCGCGGAAGTCAAGGCGCCGCTCCCCAGGTCGGGCGCAGAGGCTGCGAAGGCCGTCACACAGATCGTCATCGTCGTCCAGAAGGGCGTCGAGGGACTATTCAAGAGCTTCCGCGAAGCCGTCAACATTCTCCTCGCAGATCTAGGTCTTCCCATAGGCGCCAGATCACCTAGAGCGATCTCCGCGCCGTTCACCCGCGCCCGATCTCCACGTACATCACCTGCGCGGGGTCATCACACAAAGTCGGCACACAGGTCTACACTCAGGTCTCCCGAGTGTCACCCGACATAGAGATAGCAGCCCAGAGGTCACCATCAGAAGAGCATCAACCTCTCATCTCCGATGCTGGTACAGAAGATGATGGAGGCATCATCTTCTCAGGCGCTGAGATAAGATATTGGATGGTAAACAACCTAGATTTATCTTCACCGTCCAAGAGTGGCAACTCAAGCGCAGACATACCTGATGAAGGAAGGCGATGCAGGCGCCATCACCTTACCTCCGATCGACCCGATTGCTGCGGTGCCACATAATCTAGATACAGCCTTCATTAAAGCTCACGAAAGTGCAGACTCCACATCTGCGAACTTTCAGCTAAGAAGTTCTCCACGCACAACATGGACCCCTTCCTGAAGGCACAAGACATCGATGAAAACTACAAGCTGATCAGCGATGTTAAGAACAAGAACTACAAGATTGGCGATGCGCCAAGCTGGTGCAGATAGAAAACATGGCCGAGGCGCATGTTCTTTGGCCTAAATAGATCTAGAGCGATCAATGAGACACTTATCACCAGATTTACGTATCGACCTCTGAAGATGATAGGATGATCTACTCGGCCCTACTGATGCAAAGAAGGACCAGCAGTTCCTTACAGATCATCTCACATCTGTCTCAGCAGCACTGACCTTAGCTGCGTCGTCAAGGCCTCCTCGCTTCCTGCAGCTGGGGTGAGAACTTTACAGCTCCACTCTATACAGCCCGTGGTCATCCCCAAACATCTTTGGCGGAGGAATAGACAAAGTCTCCAAGGGAAGTCACTAAGGACTCCAGAGAAGTCCTTATGATCAAGTCGATGGACCGCTAGCAAAGCGTCATCAGGCAGAC